AGGTCCTCAGACTCTAGTGCCAGGGAGTGCCCTTTCCACTGTTTTGTTTGGCTTCAGTTATTGGGGTGACTGCTTCAGCTAGGCCAAGCTGGGCTGGCCTGGCCTGGGCTCCTAGGCCACCAAAGGCAAAAATAGGCAAATAGGTGTCTCCATCTAAGAACAAAGTCTAATGTCACCAATTCAAGGAGTCTCAGGTAGAAAATGGGGGAGAAGGAAGGGCTGGGCAGACTAACATTTCTGTTCTCCTTTAGAAATCAAGCTAATCCCAGTGACCATCCCCTCAGTATTACCTACAACATCTTCAAGAGAAACTTGGGTCCAGGGCAAAAGAGTTGGAATGAGGCTAAGAAAATGGCTTTGGTCCCTGACTCTGACAGCGGTGGAGAAGCAGTTGCTCTTCCAGCCCCTTTCAGCATGGGTGAATAGTACCAGATGGAGCTTTCAGGGAAGCAAGTATCATTGTCCCCATTTTAGAGATGGCACATTAAAGGAAGTGACTTACACAGTAGAAGCAGAGCCAGTATTGGAAGTCAGATCTCCCAATTCCACTCCAACAAACATATTCATTAAGTATCTGTTGAATGCCAAACAATCCACATTTATGGCATTACTCTGCATCCTATCAGGTGGCATCCATTAGGAATTTCCCTTTTAAGCAAGTGGAATTTTCTCTGGTTGTGAGTTTCTTCCACTTTGGGTTGGATCAATAAATTTGTCTGTGGTGTTTACCCCTGTGTTATTCTTTTAAGTTGTCCTCCAGTAAACTCTGAGACTCTTAAGGGAAAGACACAAGCTGAATAACTTGGTATTCCAAGGACTTGGCTCTAAGAATAATCTTAAAACAGCCTGTGGGCAGAGAGGCCTAAATGCCAGAATTTGGTACTAATGGTGCCTCAGAAATACTCATGGCATACATAAAATGTAGCTAAGTGGGTAGGGTTGAGCAGAGAAGAAACTTCTATTTGGGTCAGAATGTCTGTTTGGGTTGGTAATAGCCCTGACTTCATTTCTTAATCAAGTCAGTCTATTCTAGAGCATGTGCTGAGTACCTGTGGACCCCAGGGGAGGGTAACAAGAAGAGCCATTTGCAGATTTTCAGCCTGAGCAGGCAGTTCACAGGGTCCTAGATGGAGTCTTCATCTTGTGTCTGATTCATCCATTTAGAGAGTCCCTGGTGCACTGAGTTAGGTTTCTCCTTAGGACAAGTACTTTCTAATTCCGGGGACCAACTCAGGAGAGGAAAGAGAAATGATACTGTTTTATTTCAGTTGTACGAAGCTGGAGCCTGGTGGATTGTGTCTTACTGGACACTATAAATAAGAGCTGTCAAGATAGGATTAATCCCTTGGGGTTGGTGGTGAGGAGGGAGGGGAGTAGATACATGATCAGTTTCTAGCCTAGGCCTCTCTGATCTTTGGGTTCTACCTGAGGAGTCCATCAGCCACCTCAAACAGCCAGTAACCAAGAATAGACTCTACCTAGATAGCACACAAGGGAACCTCTTTTTGAGTTTTCCACCAGCTCCCACTACCCTCAGGGTTTAAATGGTGCCTTAGCTATGGCAGAAGCACTTTAACTGAACATTGAGCACAGGAATAACAATAATAACAGTAAACAAAGCCCCCACACCAACTCAGGAATTGGAATTTAAATTATACATCCTGTAGCTTGTGATACAAAGAGGCTTTCTTTGCTCACAGCAATAATACAACAAAAAGAGCTAATGGTAGTAAAACATGGTGGTGCGCACTGGAGCCCCTCATTCACCACCGTGACAATTCCATCTTGCCAAATGCCAGTTACCCCAGAAGAAGGGAAGGGGACTGCAAAGATGGAGAGCTTTATGTCTTGAGAGCAGAGAATCAGAGTGAAGCCTCCAAAACCTACCCTGACTGGACAGGAAGTCCCAGAGACAAAGAGATAACTATTGAAGGAAAAGTACTCAATGAAGAGAGAGATGTACCTATGTATATACTGATAGTTTTAAATATATCTAGATCTAGTTATCTATGTAGCTCATTATCTATATATCATATGTAATATATAGTTATCTATATAGAGACCTACATATACAGACATGTAGATATCCACATGTAGATATCTATATATCTATGCAGGCATACATTGAAGGTTGAGCCATCTCCCAGAGAAGCCAGTTTTATTCTAGCAATCTTTTCCCTCCCGGGAAAATCTCAGGAGTTTGAAGAACTTCTTGCTGGATCCTCTGCATGGGATGCTTCCTTTTATCATCCTTGCTCTGCACCCTATTATCAAACACAGTAACAAATATTTTCATCTCCAGGAGTATCGAGGCTCTAGCGAGGCTGGAAGCTTTGGTGTCTTCCATCCTTTGTTTCCTCCTGGCAGAAATGTTAATTGTGTAGATATTGGGGTGGGGGTGGAGGGGATAAGTCTGTCTCCTTTCAGGATGCATTCTCCCTGCTGCTCCTTTTCTTCCAAATTGTTATTCTCAAACTTCATGGGGGTTTTCACCTGCAGAGTGCATTAAAAGTTATCAATGAACTCATCCTCTCTGTGACTCTGTCATGTTGAGTTTGGGAAGCAGAGGGTAAGAAGGCAGATGACTGGCTGCCATCCATCTCCAATTTCAGGCCAATATTTTCCACATCCAGATAAAGGACAAGAATTCATCTTTAAGGACTTGTTTAATAGAAGAAAGGAAAAAGTTATTTTCTATCTTTTGTACTGAAGAACTGAAGTGTTGGCACAGGATTCCTGAGTGATGGTCACAGGCGGTTAGTCCTTGATGTGGAAGAGAAATGAGTTGAATCTCACTCGGGTTCTTATTGGGAGAGATTTCATTCCATTTTCTCCTTCTGATTGCATAAGAATCACTCCAGAACATCTTCTCCCACTCCTCATCTTTAAAGTCCTACAGAAATCTGAGCTCTCATTATTTTCTTCTTCTCTCTTATCCTCTCTCCTCCCATTTCTTCTCTGCACTTCTGTGGTGTGTGTTGGTTAGGGGCATCAGCAGGAAAGGAACCATTTTCATTACATCTTTCTTGACCCCTTTATGTGTGGCTGACATCTAGCTTTCCCAAGACATGAGCTGCCTCTGGCAGCCTAGATAGGACTTGGGTGTGGGATACAATATTTGTCTACATAAAATACAGAAACAGTCATAATGATCACTCAGTGTTGAGTTGGACTGAAAAATCATGAATCATCATGTGGTGGGACAACCTTCCTGAGAAGTGAGAGAAGCTTCCTTATAGGGTCATAGACCTAGAGTTGTAATACTAATGACCCTGAGGTAGCAGAGTCTGGAGAGGGAGTCATTTGCTTTGTATTGGCAAATTCTTTGAAGTCCAAGACCAAACCTGAGTAACTCACATATTCAGCATTTAGCATTATATCACTTGCATATGGGTATTTAATAAAAGCATTCCAAAGACAGTCGTGACGACATAGAAGAAAGTCAGGCTGTTCTCTGTTCTGCTGATAGTTCCATATGTGACCCTAGGTGAGTTAATTCTCCATCCATAAAGCAGACATGCCAGCCTCATACTATTTCATAACATAAGATAAAGATTCTACACCAAAGGGAGCATAAGGAATTGCGCAGGCCACCACTCTATTCCCTGATATATTCTCTTTCCAGTGTCCTGTAGGGCACCCATAAGACCTGAAAAGTTATTGTACCTTGCTTTCAATGCCTACCTTGCTGAGCCTGATATTTACTTATGCGATATCTCATATGGAAAGTGCTCCAAGCCTTGGAGATGCCCCATCAGACATGTCTCATATTCTACTTGATTCTGACTTGATGATGGGACCAATCTAAAATGTCTGTTCAGATTCCTAGACAACTGAATGTTCTTTGCTGCGGCCACCAGTCAGAACCTGGCTCATTGCAGCTGGGTACTGTTACTCACCAGGTGTACATTCTCTTAGAAGTAGCCTGATTTTGAATCAGCAAATGTACCTCTTAATGGCCTGGTCCGCAAGCAGTCTGCCTGGCTTGCTCAGATCCCATTTTGACATAAATATTCACAATTGTTTGTCTAACGGAGATCATGACTCAGGATGATGGCCTGACTGCAGTGAGTAACTCTTGGTACCATCCCCCTAATAATGCTGTACTGGCAGATTTAAGTAGCAGCCATTCTCATAGTTTCTGCATCAGTGCTGGGCTTGTTCATCAGTTACATGGAAATTTTTCTGTTCCAGGGGCTCAAAAAGCAGTCCTTTTGGGGAAAAGAGACCTGTCTTCAGGGGCTGCCAAATGGGTGATTGCGCTAAGGCTCACTGAGTGCCTGTGCTAATCCATCCCACTCAGGCTCCTGATGATACCTGTCACTCAAGGAAACCCTACTTGTTTGCTGGATTGCTTAGGCTCTCAGTTTTCCCAAATAGGCTGCAAAATTTGCTATCTCCTCTCCACCCCCTCAGCCCTTACCCCAGTCCAAGGCCAAGAAAGCAGAGTTTTCCCAGCCTCCTCTCTTGCTTGTGGGGGCAGCCAGCCCCCATCTGAGGTTGCTCTCTCCACCCAGACTGTCAGTCAGCCTCCTTGAATGCAGTCTGAGGTGGAAGAGGAGTGGGCTGGAGGGTGGTAGTGGGTGGCACCAACCCATTGTTTTCCTCAGCTGAAGCTGTTTTATCTTATTACGGGGGAGGCCTTTCTCCTTGATTCAGCTTCCTAGAGAGCAGCCAGCCCACTCTAAGCTTCAGCTTGGAGAATCCTCTTCATAGAACTAATGGCTGTTGACCGACCTCTTGGATGAAGCAGAATTTTTTGGCACAAAGAAATTCAGGGAGTGGTTGAATCCAAACAAGACTGAAGATTGGAGTCAGGAGGTTAGAGAGATTGACTTGGTGAGAAGGAAACCCTCAGGGATTACCAAAAGCCACACTCCAGCTCAGCTCAACCCAACCCAACCAATCTACCAACACCAGGCCAACTCCTTGCTGGAATGAAAGAGGAAAGGGGCCAAGTAAGGGGAAAGAGAGTGAGAAAAGCAGCCAGTAGACAAAAAGAGAGATCTCAGGGTCTGTCTTTGAGAATGAAAAATGAAAAAAAAAATTTAAATACACTGACAATTCAGGGCATGAAGGCCCAAGTGATGGTGATGATGGCACTGCATTGTTCTATCTAACGGGGCCAAGACACCTGGCCTGGCAAAGCCCAAATTCTACCTTCCATAGTGAGAATGGAATTGGCCTAGTGGACAGGGTAGATGGACTAGAATGCCCCCACTTCAGTATGCCCTTCTCCCTTCATACTACCCCAAGGTCTGGGTCTTGGTCAAAGGCCAAATGGAATGACATCCAACTGGTATCCTTAATTTCTCATTTGCTGCCATTAAGGCTGAGGATGTAGAACTTTTTAAGCCTAAAGTACTGAGGAAGCAACTCTTGGTTCTCCAAACATTCTGTCCTGCAACGTGAGTGAGCTTCTGTGTGAAGTACAGAGTGGAAAGGGCCATCGGGGAACCGGTCGTGGGCTCCTGGCCTAATTGGATTAGGATGTGCCAGTGATAACACTAGAGGGAGCCTAAAACTCACTGCCATGGAAAAGGAAGGTAGGTACTATATTCTTCCTGGCAAAGCTGAAATCACAATTCTGTACACTTCTTATGCCGATATCACTTATGTAGTGCAGCTGGGAGGCCTGAGAGTACAATGAAGGGCAGAGGGGACTCTGAGCTGTTCAGTTGTTTTTCAGTTGTGTCTGACTGAGAAGAGTCAAAACTCCAAAAACAATACACTGCCAGCCATTCTTTCAATATTAAACTATGTTCTGAGGCTCACCTGCGGCTGGCTGTTGACAACGGTGAGGGTGACCTACTAGTGGGACTCTGTAGTAAGACACAGACCTTTCCCAGCTCTGGTGCTCCCAGCTAATAAAAGCCAAGGCCCACCATCAAAGGACTTTGAGTCTATGTACACGTTGGGGTTCTCTGGGAGGCCAGGATAAAGACTCCCTAACTCAGGCTTACAATGTATGTGTCTGTTTCTTGACCTGTCCCTGCAGCTCTGGTGCCCCATTACCATCAACAGGGAAGGGAAATGCCCTTTCCCCCCACCCCCAATGTTAGTTACTGGCCCCAAAACTCCACAGAGCCTAGGTCTTTTACCAAAGCCCAGGGCGCCTTCTGGGGTATTCTTTCAGAGCCCCCTTCTTCACCTCTGAGTCCCTCATCCTTTCCTACAATGCCTTTTGGCTTCAGCTCTCTCAAGATTCAGCAAGAGAGAAGCAGCCCCCAGTGCCTGCTGAGAAAAACAGATGTGTTTTTCAAAATAAATAAATTTTTAAAAAAATCCCTCCCAAACCCTCACCAAAAGAAAAAAAAAATAAACCCCACACCAAACCCATGAAAAGCCAGAAGAGAAAACACCAAGGTCTTTGGCCCAAAGATGCTTAACACAGTCTCTTCTGGACTCCCTGCTGGTGGCTCTGAGACTCACAGCTGCTGTGGGATGCCCTGCTCCTTGTAGCCTGTGTGGAAGAAGCAGAGAAAATGTGGTTAAAATTACTGTTCCCTGTTTATTTCATACAGATGTGGAGTGTGGGGTCCTGTCTTCAACCCTGTGGCAGAACCAGGCCACTGCTCAGTGTCTTACAAAATATTCCTTATGGTCCCAACCCTGACCTAGGCAGCCCGGTTCTGTAGAAAGAGGTGGGCTGGAATTGGAATCAGCTGATCTGATTTTGAGCTCCCGCCCTTTGGCTTATAAATTGATGTGACCTTGGACAAAACTACCTTAAGCTGTAAAATGAGGGGGATGGGCTTAGATAAGCTCTAAGGTCCCTTCCATCACAAAATCTACAACCCCTCTGCTCTCTCTGAGTCTCAGTTTCTTCATCTGTAGAGCTCTGGACTTGGAAAAAGGAAGACCCTGTCTTGGACACTTAATTTTGTGACTCTGGGAAGGTAGTTCTCTCAGCTTCCCATTTCCTCATCTGTAAAATGGGAATAATAGCAGCACCTACCCCCTACCTCCCAGGGTTGTTGTGAGGATCAAATAAAGTAATATATATAAAAGGCTTTGCAGACCTTAAAAAGTGCTCTATAAAGGTTAGTTATTAGGTTTCTAATAAAATGGGAACCAGAACATTTGCCTTCCTTACCTATCTCAAAGAGCTAGTGAGAGGATCAAATGAGTAAATATCTATTTTATATCTATAAAACATTTTGTAAATGTGAAATATCATGCAAATATTACCTACTATCTATTTTTAAAAATTAGTGTAATGTGGGTGTACTGCATGCCTTGACCACTTAAGATGGTGTCATCTACATGGAAGATGCTTCTGGGCGCCTGGAGAACTGGCTTATGTGCAGACAGTCTACATTGGCCTACCAGGTGGTTGGGAGCAGTCTTTTTCCATTGGTTGCATATCCAGAACTGACTAAGTCTTTAAATCTGACTGACTGATCCTGGACAATGGGGCCAGAGTAAACCATGTTTTTGTTCTTTAGGCATGTCCAACTCTTCATGACCCCACGGACCATAGCACCCTAATACCATCCATGGGGTTTTCTTGGCAAAGATACTGGAGTGGTGTGCCATTTCCTTCTCCAGCTCATTTTACAGATGAGGAAACTGAGACAAAGAGGGCTAAATGACTTGCCTAGGGTCACACAGCTACTAAGTACCTGAGGCCACATTTGAACTTGAGTCTTCTGACACCAGACCCAGAGCTCCATCCACTGAGCCACCTAGCTGCCTCCATGTTACAACAACAACAATAACAGACATTTATGTGGCACTTTAAAGTTTACAAAAGGCTAGGCATGTACTATACTCATTTTAGCCTCACAACAGTTCTGAGTTAAGGGCTACAGGTATTAAAAGGAAGCACAAAAATGTATGGCCTTCAAAGCCCCATGAAAAGCTGTGGGAGGAAGGATGCTCACTAATGAACTGATGGTCCCCCAAGAATTCAGAGTCAGGTGCTTCGTGTACCCGTGGCAATAGAGCTTTCATAAGGCTTCCCTTCCCTCCAAGATTGTCCTGCAGAAATCATGAAGCTGGTGGAATTCATTTTTCTTCATCTCCGGCCTCCTCTTTCTGGGGCTTTTTCCTTATGCCCCCTGGTTCCCTCATTCCTCAGGCAGCTAGCATCCGATTCTCTCCACCTTCCCTCTTATCAAAATCTGCTCTCTGGAATGAGTCTGATAAATTCATAAACACTGTGGTGTCAGCGACTAGCATAGTTTAACCTACTTCCTCTCTCCAGGAACGCTTGCATTTTAACAGGGGGCAAAGGCTATAAGAGCAGAATTTCAGACATAGGCAAGCAGGTGAAAGAAATGGGGAGGAGGTGGAACTAGAGACTAAAAATCACATCACGTTTCTCTGGCTGACTCCAACAGTCTGGTCTGACTTATTCAGCTACCAGTTTTTGGAAAGTGGTCCAGCACAACTTTTCTGATTGGTTGTAAAGTGGGAAACCATGATAATTATACCCATTTTACAGATGAGGGGGTGACAGACTGTGGATCATCTTACATACATAGAGAAATATATAAGGAGATTTTATACTAGTGGGACCTCCGTTACATAAAAACGTTCCTACAACCTTGAATGCGCTTAGGTGGTACAATGGATAGACCACCAGGCCCGGAGTCAGGAAGACTTGAGCTTAAACCTGGCCTCAGACTTACTTACTAACTGTGTGACCCTGGATTAACCTCTGCTTGCCTCAGTTTCCCCATCTGTAAAATGGGGATAATAATAGCATCTCCCCAGGGTTGTAGTAAGGCTCAAATAAGAATAACTGTAATGCATTTAGCACAGTGCTTGGCACATAGTAAGAGCTCTATAATTGTCAGTTATTGTTGTTGTTATCATTATTATTTACTGTAGGGGGAAGAGACTGATCTCTACCCCTCATTTCCACTAATGTCACCGACTGAATTGTCAACCAACATTAGGTCAGCCAGAGCATTCAATTCAATTGAATCCACTAAGCAAGCCTTTGCTAATCTCCTGCTGTACTAAGGGCAAAGTATGGCGCTAGGCAAACCAATGTTGGTACTTAGAGTTTTAATTAGTTGCTTTGTGGCAGTGGCAGGATGATGATTGATAGCTCAGGCCACCAATGTTAAGGGACACAGGGCTAATGATGACTGGCCCCACAATGCACTGATTCCATAAAACAATGTTGCCCTGGCCAACAGTCTCAGGATGCAAAAGGATGAATGGTTTCTCCAGAAGCATCAAAGTAAGAATGGATATTCCTGAATATTCCAAGTAACTGAGGGCAGAAAGAGAGGGGAATGGAACCAGCTGGAAGCCTGGTATCCCCATACAGGACAAGGCCTATAAGACTCCCTTATGTGGCTATGACCCTGAAGCAAAGACCCTGTGAACTGGATACCTATGGTCTGGGTCTGGGAAAATCCCTTTGATTATTAATTGGGGGGGGTCTAGAAGATCAATTTCCCTGTGTGACCCAATAAGATAAGGGGTGAGGCCAGGCCACCCTAGACTCACCTTGGGAAACTGGATAGGAAGTACGAAGATGTGAAGCAGGCGTGAGAGAGGGGGAAAAAACAGAGAAAGAAAAAAACGTTCTGAAAAGGATGATCACAGGAACATTTGAAATATCCAAAGGGAGGAGGGATAGGCACACGGGGGCCTGGGGAACTGAGCATAGGATGAGGTTGCCAATTTCACAAAAGCTAAATTCACAGGCACAGGAAGGAGCTCTAGTTGTCACGCGTTCATTTTAAGCAATCTACCACAGATCAGCCCCCCAGTTAAAGGATATTTGCTGAAAACACAAAGTACTGTGCTTTAAAAAAAATTTTTTTTAAACTGAAAGCTACTGAAAGATGGCCTCTCCATTTCCTCTGACTGATAGAGGTCATGCATAAAAGGCTAGAACTGTAAGGAAATCATTTCTAATTCCTCAGCAAGCCTCTAAGGAATAGCCATAGGTCTCAGGCAGAAGATGGCACAGACATAGTCGGCTCCTAATAAATGATTATTGACTGACTGACTGTAAGATACTTAGCTGGGGTTGACCTTGCCACCCTCTCTCTGTCTTTTCCCTCGTTCTTTCCATTACTATCATCCCTTCCTATGCCCACATCTCAATGGATTCAGGTTGGGTCTGTGTGCTGAAAGTGACCTATCAATGGTCTGTAATGATTCTGAAGAGGGTGAAATAATCAGTAGAGGCGATCTGCCGTCTGTGGAGTGTATGTACACATGGCTCAGGGTGTGCTACCATTCACTGGGCAGGGGCCTTATCCAACACCTGGCATTCTGTGGAAAGTGCCTCAGTAAAAAGAACGCTGACTTGGAATCAGAAGATGAGTTTAAATCCCACCTTTGTCTACTTACTAGTTAGAAATCAGTTTCCTCCTGTGTAAAATGAGAGAGAACTAGATGACTTTGGAGGTCCCTTCCAGCTCTGGTATGACCCCCAGGGTGCTGGGGTTCAAAAAGTTAGTATTATGTATTAAGTATTTAACAATGCAGATATGCATAGCAATGCTCCTAAGTTCACCATTTTAATGCTCCTCTTCATGTCACATTTTCTCTAATTTTCCATTTCCTGGGAATTGTTCTTGGTAAATTATTAGTAACTACCGTGCTGTCCCCCAATCTCCAATGCTTTAATGAACATAAATTTGTCTTGTTAATGAGAGAGGCTCAAGGGCTGGTCTTAAAGGTGAAAAGACTTGGTTTTGAGGCCTGCCTTTTACTCTTACTAGCTGGGTGGCCCAGGACAAGGAATCTATTTTCTCAGGATCCCAGGGATTTAAGACAATAAGTACAGGTGAACTGCTGAGCTGAATTGGTGGACTGAGTTTCCAAACCTGTCCCCAGGTTTGCTATCATCTGTTCAATGATAAAACCACACATCTACACTTTCTCCTCCTCCAAAATTAATGCGAAAAATCACTGAATTCTTAATCCTCTTCTGAAACTCCCACAAGATGAGCAGGAAATCTCTTGATGCCTGAAGTGTGACCCCAAACTAACAAACCTGATCTTTTGTGCAAAAACACCAGAACTTACAAATCCCAAGAGTATTATGACTGAGCCTGCCATTCTCAAAATATCTGAGGAGTGCTTTCTAAAAAATTGCTTTCAGAGTTTGTTGCAAAGTGTTTCTTTTGACTCTATTCAGTGGCAGCAAATCTTCCTTGGAAAGCAGATTTAATTTTTAGAAATGACTAAAAGCCATTTGTAGCCACAACTGGTGTAGGAGGTAGATGATCACCCTGAGTAATATCATTTTTTGGCTAAATGTGGGGAATGACCATAAAGCACTTGGTCAGATTTTTTTGTGCACAAGTGATAAACCGGATCTGAAAGCAAATTCCCAAAGAAGTGTTCCAACCAGGTTTCTCATAAGAATGGCATCATTGGAATAAACACAGAGTGTCCCATATGGCTACCAATATGGGAGCTCTTGGCCTTGATTTATCAAGGAGACAAGAAGTTCCTAATAAGATATGTGCAAAATGGCAGGACTCAAACAATCAATAAATATTTATTAAGCACCAACTATGTGTCAGGCACTATGCTAAGCTCTGGTGATTAAAAAAGAGGCAAAAGATAGCCCCTGCCTTCAAGGAGTTTACAATCCAATAGGACAGACAACGTGCAAAGCAAATATATACAAAGCAAGCTGTATGCAGGATAAATAGGAAATCATTGAAAGACTGGGGTTGGGGAAGGCTTTCTGTAGAAGGTAAGATTTTAGTTGAGGCTTAAAAGAAGCCAGAGAGGTCGGTAGTCAGAGCAGAGAAGGGAGAACATTCCATGCATGGGGAATGGCCAGAGAAAATGCTGAGAGAGGTGGGACAGCCAGGAAGCCAGTATCACTGGATCGAAGAGCACAGATCTATGATTTTTCTTCCTGACTATCTATCCCCAGCTAGTTCAAAGCCAGATGTAATTCTACCTATTTCTCTCCCTTCACTACTGTTCATCACCCTTGCTTTACTTCCAATTTTTTAGACAAAGGAGGGACACAGAAGTAGATGGGTGACGCCTTACCTGAGGAGGGTAGCTGAATAGGAACCCCAGGATGGAAACGTTTTACATCCATTCTTACTCCATTTATATCACATGGACACGAGTCTGCTTCCCTTTCTATGGAGGAGTTTGAGAGCAATGTGACAAGGGCACCTTGGGCTAGGTAGAGCAGTAGGACAGTCTCCCAATCCTGGCCCGGCCACTTACTTGCCATATGACTATGAGCAAGTCATTTCCTAGACCCAAGACTCAGTTTCCCCATCTGTATAATGAGCAGGATTGGACTAAATGCTATTAAGGTTCTTTCAGCTCTAACATTCTATTCTGATCTGGAAAAGTAAGATTTGTATTTGGGAATTTTCATATTTGGCTACTTGCCTCACAGGCAGGGATAGGCTGGTGAATGTTTAACAACTGTCTCTCTGAAGACCAGGATACATTTTAAGATTTAATTTGCATTATTAACATTTTTCCATTACTTTCTTAAATCTAGGCAACCAACAAAACATTGAATCAAGCCCTCCCTCCTATGTAGCATTTGTAGAGCCAGCTCCTGCGCACCCCTGCTCAAGGTAGGGAGGATTAAACAAGATCCTGGGCTTAAAACACTTTGTGACTAGGAAGTGTTGATGTTGCAGGGATACAAGTTGTAGTATATGATAGCAGAAAGTAGAGCTTTCTCCCCCTTCCCCCTAAAGTGAACACAGTCAGATCTAGAAAAGTGAAAAGAAAAGAGATTGGATTTTCCTCTCCTTTATGCTGACTGTAGGACCTTAGTTGATCCTTTCACCTCTCGAGGCCTCAGTTTACTCATGTGTCAAATAAGGGAGTTGCTCTATGTCCTCTCCAAGTATATTTCTCCAACATTCTGTGATTCTGCTGGAGTTTTGAGAGGCACTGATGCCAGATGCCTTGATGGAAAGGGTGAGCTCTAGGAACCATGATGGGTTGCTTAATCAATTCCAGCATAAGAGCCCCCAGCCAGAAACTGTTTGACCAGGAAATGAAGGAACAGAATAGAGGGAGGGAAAGAGACTAAGAAAGGAAGTGGTTAACAAAGATAATCTGTCATCTGCAAACAATTCACAAGATCCCTCATCTCCCAACTGTGGGCATTTCCACTGATTGTCCTTCATACCTGGAATTGTCTCTCTCCTTCTCTCCACCTCCTCCTGGCTCCTACAAGAAGCCTTTCCTGATCCTTAATACTTTGTGTCTTCAGTCTCTGGATTAACTCTAATCTATCCTGCTTATATATCTCGTTTGCAGGCAGCTGTTTCTTTGTTTTCTCCCCCATTAGACTGTGAGCTTGAGGGCAGAGACTGTCTTTTGCCTTCCTTTGTAATCCTAGTGCTTAGCACGGTGCCTGACATGTAACAGGCTCTTAATAAATGCTCATTGGCTGACCAGGCAAATCCTCATGGTTTCAGATCACAGAAGAATGTGGGGGTGATGCTCCTTCTGCTCCTGTCCTGGAGAGCAGGATTAGGAGCTTGGTAGATGCTCACCCCTCTTCCTGCTCCATCTCCTAGTGAAAACTTTAGGCTACCCTCAAGTCATTGGGCAATTGCCCAACCTTCTCCAGGGCAGGAGTTCTTAACCTTTTCGTCATAGACCACTCTGGCAATCTGGTGTACCTGTTCTTAGAATATGTCATTGCCTGTGTTCATAATTGAAGGAAATGCTGAATTTTGGTCAGTGGTTAGTAAAAGTAAAAGTACATTTTCTCCAAGTTTACAGGCCCCCTGAAATTTATACAAGGACCCCTTAGGATGGATGAATGGAACTCAAGAAGCCATGCCCTAAGGAATCCAGTTCTGGAGTTGAAAAGGCTGCTGAAGTCCAAGAATGAATCTCTCTGAGAGTTGAACATTTTTCTTCCCTCTGGATCTCTGCCTTCCCTTTCCATCCCCAATTTTAGTGGTTATTATAAATGCCAAAAGACCTGTAGGTCTGCGAGTTTAATTAGGGCCCTGGGCTTCCAGTCAGTCAACACTGGTCAGGACCTAATTCTCTACTCCTGCCAGATTAACCTCACAGGCAGCTCTACCTCCATTCCCAGGGCCTGTCCCCCACTCCTACCCACAATGAATATCCATGTAAATATACCACATATAGCCCCCAAGCAAGTTATTAGTATGATACACTATTCCAGGAGAGAGAGCCCATGAAACTCCTTGACTATGGTAAAAGGTTTTCCTTACCATTGGTGCCCACTGCCTACTGCCTTCCCTACTTGTCTGGGTTCCTGACCTTCAACTTCCCTGCCTTCTTCATCCTTGGGTTTTCCTGGTTTTTTTCATTCATTCATTCATTCATTCATTCAGCCAACAAACAGCTAGACACTGTGAATGCAAAGACTACAAACAAAACAATCCTTGTCCTTCTTGAGCTTACAGTAGGTGGCTGGGAGAGGGAGGGCAGAAAGCAACATGTCAACAGATGTCACTACAAAATCTAAAGTAAATACAAAGCAATTTTGGGGTGAGGCCAGTAATAACTGGGGA